ATATATATATATATATATATATATATATATATATATATATATATATGCCACATCATCACGACTGTGTTCTGCACTCTCACCAGGCTCTATGTACTTGCCATGATAGATATCTGCTAAACATTTTTATGCAGTCATGTGTTAGAAGATCACGCCCTGGAAGTCTCCATAGTGTCTCAGTGCTATGATCATGAATATCATGTCTGCACTGTTCTTATGACTTTATCATGGTCATGGTTGTAACCTAGACTGAGGCCAACGTGGCCTGTCCTGCTTCAAATTTTCCCCAATTAAGAAATCCTGGTGTGAGCAGGTACGTTGGTTTGTCCATTGCTCCATCCATCCTTTGCTCCATCCATTCACCGCTCCATCCATCCATCCATTCACCGCTCCATCCATCCATCCATCCATCCATCCATCCATCCATCCATCCATCCATTTTCTGCCAATTATCCATGGTTTTGTTACAACAACTGTTCCAGGAGGGAATCACTGACATTGTTCTCCCCAGGGACAGATTCCAAATCTCTTGCATGATCACACGGTGTTCTCAAGCCAGAGAAAATACATTATCCCTCCAGTCCCTTATTGATATCTGGGTCTCCTGTGGTCTCCTCCTTTTAGATGTGCCCCCTCAAAAAATTCCAAAGAGAAATGGCTTCTCTCAGTCATGAATTAAACCTCATGACCATAGGTGACAGTTGGAATGCAGACAGATTATTAAATTGAGAGTTATTTCTTCATCACAATAGACCACAGAAACACTCTTGTTATTATGAATGAGGCACTGAGCCTTCAATCCATCTCCCATTACATCCTACCATCATTTGTCAACAAAACTCCCATGTACTTGAACTTTAATGTTTGAGACGGATATTTACTCCCGCTGTGCAGACCGTACCCCATAGCTATGCTGCCACAACTGCCACCATATTCCCCCATGTCTCATTCAGTACTCAAATATGCTGCCACCACAATAACACCCCCCACCCCACAACCTTGCTACGGATGTTTTGTTTATACTCAAAACTATTGTGAACATGTCACTCTCTATTACATGTAGTAGGGAGTCCACTGAGTTTTTAATACATACCAGAAGACTATAACAAGACACCGCAAGAACCATCAATTTTCTGGCAGATTTTTCACATTGTAGGGGGTTGTCATCCTGTATGAAGCAGGCCTTACACAAGAAACAGTGATGCACTTTGCGTTTTGACACCAAGGTGCATCTGATTCATTAGGGTAGGTGGGGCAATACCCTAAAATCACAATTAGCCCCAAAAAGTAACTCCTTGGTTATTTTTGCAACTCACTGAATCCAGAATAGAATTCAAAATTTTACTTATAACCTACAAAGTTCTCAACAACTTAGCTCCATCTTGTATTACAGATCTTATCGTTCCATATTTTCCTAACGGAGTATTTCGCTCTCAGACTGCTGGTTTACTTGTGGTTCCTAGAGTTTCCAAAAGCAGAATGGAAGGCATAGCTTTCAGTTATCATGCTATGCTCTTGTGGAACCAACTTCAAGTTTCTGTCCATGAGGCTGACACAATGTTCAGTTTTAAGATTAGGCTTAAGTCTTTCCTTTTTTGATTATTTTTTTTTATATATAAATCCTATAGTTAAGATTGGCTTGGGTTTCCTGAGCTTTCCTTTAGTTATGCTGTTATGGACTTAGGCTGCTGGAGGACAAACTGACTACATTTCTTCACTCTGCTGCTATCTTTACTTCCTCTACTCTACTCTATCTGTCTTGTATTTGTAATTATTTCTATCCTTAACAGGTGTTTGCTGTATTTCTTCCAATAGGGGATACACCTGCACCTACATCTGGACCTGCCATTCTTCGTTTGTTTGACTCTCCTTCCTGTTCCTCTCAAACGCAGCTAGTCGAAGCAGACGGCCGCTTGTCCTGAGCCTGGTTCTGCTGGAGTTTTCTTCCTGTTAAAAGGGAGTTTTTCCTTTCCACTGTCTCCTTTGTGCTTGCTCAGGATGGGAGACTGTGACGAAGTGAAGATTCAACAAATCTGCTGGCTTCCTTCCTTGAATAGAGAACTTTTACTAATTAGCTGTTGTAAGTACTGTATGTGAATGTTTCTGTTCAGTGCCCTGAAATGGCTTCTGTTGTGATTTGGTCAAGTGTGGCTGCCCAATAGAGGACGCCAGAGTGCCGCCCACCCACTGGAGCTGCTCACCATTTTACATTGAAGACTTAAAATAATTAAAGAAAAATGAAATAATAAAATTAAAATATTTCAAAATAAATTAACATTTTTTTAGTTGTGTAAGATAAATATTTTATAGTTAATGATGAGTTAAGTTGTTTCTTTCAAAAACGTTGTCTGATTGGTTATGTATTTCTGGCCCCTGGTGGCTCACGTATCTTTGCTCATAAACTATCGTTAAAAATTGAACATGCGCACTAGTGCCTCATCTTTACAAGAGATAGGAAGATTCTGGGTGCCGATATCTGCGCCCGGGGGCACGGAAAAACGCGAATGTTACCGATTGATTGTTCTTCCGTTCGTGCAGTAACACTTGCAACCAGGCAGGCTTTAAGCCATTGAAAACCCTTTATCTAATGACTATTTGCCATTTCTGACTGATATGCCTCACAACTTTTAGAAGTCTCTGTTTGTGAGAAAACCTTCAGCTGACTGTATTCTAAAAGTTAGAACTGGTGAGTTTGTTTATTTGCTTGTTTCTGGAGTTAGCATGCTAACACTAGCCTCCAGGTTATTGTATTGAACTATATGATTGCTGCATTTATTTGAATGTGCCTATAGAAAAAATAATTATCAGACATTAATAATTTTATATACTAAATGTCACTGATGGTGTTCTGAACACCTGCATTTGTACTGATCTGAAGAATGAAAATAAGCCTCTTGCAAGCATTATATATACAGTAAGTATGCAGTATTTTGACACTGTGGATCATAACATCTTGTGTCATAAGCTCTCAGAAATTGGTTTCTCAGATCACATCATTGGTTGGTTCTCTATTTTTCAGATCGGAGGCAATGTGTTCAAGATAATGGTACTTCCTCCAGTTATTTAACAGTCAAAAATGTTGTACCACAAGGCTCAATCTTAGGATGCACCCTCTTTACAATCAACATAGGTAACGTAGGTCAGAGCATCCTTGATACATCCATACATTTCTATGCTGATGACACTGTTGTTTATTGTTGGCTAAAACAGTTGCTAAGGCTTTCCAGCTTTTGCAATCTGCATTTTACATAATTCTGTCAGAATTGTTCCACCTCAAACTTGTCCTAAATGCCGATAAAACCAAAGGGATGTTTTTTCAAACAGGACGTCCGTCCCAACAGTTCTTCATCTGATTTTATCCTCAAATGGTGTCCCTATTGAGTTTGTTGATTCCTATAAATATTTGGATATCTTGGTCGACTTGCATCTCTCTTTTAAGCTCCACATGGAAAACCTAGTAAAGAAACTGAAAGTTAAACTGGGTTTCTTTTTCATATACAGATCCTGTCTAACTCTGAAAGCTAGCAAACGCCTTGTATCTGTGACTTTCCTTCCCTCAATTGATTTTGGTGATATTATTTACATGAACGCTCCTACAAGAACCCTGCAGATGTTGGATGCTGTCTATCATGGTGCACTAATATTCATAACTGGCTGTGATTATCGTACCCACCACTGCACCCTGTATTCACTGGTTAACTGGACATCATTAACTTCACGCAGACTCTCTCACTGGTACATTTTCATCTTTAAATCACTTCTTGGTCTGCTGCCTTCATACATCTCCTCCTACATGTCTCTGCATGAGTGCAGTTACAGCGTGCGCTCTCAGGAGATTATTACCTGCAGTGTTCCCTCAGTGCGGACTGAACTTGGCAAAAGGGCCTTCTCCTACTCCGCTCCTGTTTCCTGGAACATCTTACAAAAAGATTTTAAGCTCTCAACCTTGACCTCTCTAAGTGGCTTTAAGAATCTGTTGGACTCCTGGCAAGAACAAATGCAGACATGTTCCTGTTTTTAGTTTTTTACATTCGCCTTAGAATCTAGCTGTTTTTGTTACTCTTTTTTTTAACCATCCATCCATCCATCCATCCATCCATCCATCCATCCATCCATCCATCCATTATCTTTACCCGTTTATTCCATTTTGGGTCACAGGGGTCGCTGGTGCTCATGTCCAGCAATCACTGTGCGAGGGGCGGGGTACACCCTGGACGGGTCGCAAGTCCATCACAGGGCCACATAGAGACAAACGAGACAAACAACCATTCACTCTCTCACTCACACCTAGGGACAATTTAGAGTTACCAATCAGTCTAACATGCATGTTTTTGGTCTGTGGGAGGAAACCGGAGCACCCGGAGAAAACCCACGCATGCACGGAGAGAACATGCAAACTCCACCCAGAAGGCCCCTGGACTGGGGTTTGAACCAGGGACCTGTTCGCTGAGAGGCAGCAGCTCTACCAGTTGCGCCACCGTGCTGCCTTTTTTTAACCATCTTATTTTAATTTGTTTATAAAAAATCTGTATGCCTCTTTTATGATTGTCTGTTGTCATTGTTGTCATCATTCTTTGTTGAAATCAGGTCTCTCTTGTAAATGAGTCCTCGAGGCTCA